GAATTTTTATGCCATTGGTGATTCTGACATAGAGCCTAAGATATAGAGTGAAATTTTAGATATGAACTTAGATATTCACCATCTGCAAAATCGCCAGCAGTTCCCTGTTCCCCCAGTGGTAATTACTCTCCTCAACTGGGTATCAGAGTAGTAATACGGCTGGACAGACATGTTCGTGAACTTAATTTTATCCCCACTAGCGTTCCAGTCATCATGACTGATATCAGTTAGTGATTTCTAACCTATATAGTTTGATAATTTTAATGATATTTTTCCCCAGTCTGCCCTCGTGTTTTTCAGATTAATTATATGGACACACACATACATACGACTAGCCTGAAAAAGAAAATAACTGAAAAGACTCTCTGGTAGAAAAAATTTTGATTCATTCCACTCAAGAACTAGGATTGGTGGGTAAAAGGCAGACAAGACAGTTTAGTTCAGCATAAGATATAATTTTCCTTTTTATTTAAACTGTTAAAATGTACACTGGGCTGCTCTGGTTAGCTAATGAACTCCTTATTGCTACTGTAAGTCACAAAGCAGAAACTAGATGATAATCTGTCGGGAATGCCACCTCTAAACTGGCACAAGGCTGAACTATGTAAACCCCAAAGGTTCCACCTAGATTAATGACCAACATCAGATTATTGCACACGCTAACTACTATCAACTGAAATGAATTAAGTCTCCCTTTCTCCATCCATGATATGAAACGATACAGAGCCAATTAATCATGGGACTATTTTTTAGCATAGAACTTTAAAAGTAAAAAGGATCTCTTTATCCAAACCTTTCGTCATTATGAGAACTAACTCTATTTTAAGTAGCGTATTATATATATATAGTTTATATCTTTTAACATTTTTGAACAAGACTAATGGATCAATATTAATTTCTCCTTTTCCTTTCCCTTCCCCTTTTCCTACCTGACCAAGCCAAAAAATATATTAAAGAATATTAGCTACTTTTACCCATCGATTTGGCACCCTCGGAAATATATAAGAAATGATGAATATTTCAAAAAACTGAATCTAAAAACATATTTTCCTTAGATTTTTCTAAATTATTACAATATAATCTATAACAAATGAATATAATTATTTAATAACAGTAAGTTTAGTATAATTAAATTCTTCCCCCAAATCAGTCATGTGAGATTTGCCATAATAATTTACAATAAAATATAACAATGGTCCAAAAAATCTGCACCATCTTCATCTTGAAGTAATGTTTATTTAAAAATTCTGAAAGTCACGTACGACTCTCTCTTTTGTAAATCAATGATGGCATTTTCAAGTCCAAGGACTATCCTGTGCCCCTCCTAAGTGTCCACACACAATCAAGCAGAACAAGGATACTCTAATCCTGAGTCAGAACCGCCCATCAACCCACCAGGTGACCTATCGGAACAGCCCCATAAATGGATGCTCCAGGTGCGAGCTCTCATAAAATCACTTTCCAGAAGACTGCAGCCAATGCCAAGGTAATTCAAGGATACCAAGTCTACTACCGAACCAAAACACGCTAAGGAAAAATTTTGATGGAGAAAACATTCAGGGACTGGTTCTCATGATAAAATTATTTTTCATGGCACTAAAAATCAAAGCATAAACTATCCTGTCATATACGCTTAGTCATAATTTCACTTCTAAAGATCTATTCGAAAATTGTTTGCCTAAAGCAAAAGCTACCAGAAAAATATAGCTTTAGACCACACAATACTTTAAAAGTATTCTTACTGTAACATGCTGTGGAAATAAATTTTGCTAAGGGGGTGTTAAACCAGCGGTCCTTAACTTTTGGAAGGATGTGAACCTCAGGGTAATACGAGCTGTGACCAGAGAAAAACGCATACTTACGAATTTAAAAATATGCACGGAATTGTAGGCGCTTACAAAAACAACGAAGCGCAAGCGAAGTGCATACCCCAGATCCTTCACAGGACCAACGAAGAGGGGCAGCTATCGTTCCAAGGTTAAATGTGCATAAAGCAAGTAAGCCTACGACCCCTGACTTCTTCAACTGAAGCAGAATAAAATGGCTGTGTAGAAGCTAACAGCAACATAACACGTGCTGCGTATTTTCAACATCTTTAAACTCCTTTTAAACCTAACTAGCTAGGAATAAATTCAAATAACGTGTATTAAATTTTGTTGCATTAAAACTTAAAAAAAACCCACACAAATCATGTTTTAAGAGTGATCAAAATAAGTTTTTAAAAAGAGTTGATTCACTCAGGATCTAATCTGTCCCCAGAATTATGCTTTCGTTCCTTACGATTTGAGGAAATTCAAAATCTTAATATTTACTTAACTTTGCTCCAATATTTTTACATTTCAAAATATGTACATTTCAAGTATGTATTTTTTCATATATAATGAAAAAGGCATTACTCTAGTTTACATTTAAGTGTCAATATTTAAAGTTTTACATTTTGTTTTTTTGGTTTTTTTTTTTTAGAAAAACAGTAGTTTGACATTATTTTCAAGGGCAATAATCTGGAATAGAAATTGAAAAAAAAATAAAACTTTATAACTGAAAACTATCAACAGGTTACACCTATAGTAGACAAGAAGACTTAACAATAAATTAAATCACCACTAAGGCAGGCAAATAGACTTTACAATCTTTATTTTACAACCTTAAAGTAGAAATGTCAAGAACCTTTCCTAGGCCTCGAAAAAAACAACATTTGTGGGTAAGAAGTGATGAAACGCATCAAAGGGGTAAAATGGTTTTCTGAATGTCGGACTTAATTTTTTTTCTTTGCTCATCTCCAGAGAATGTTTTAAAACTATTAACTAAAAGGAAAAAATAGGGAGAAATATTAATAAATGCAAAACCATTCATCGTTCCAGTGTTTTTGGACGATATTTTAGCTTAGTTGACTGTCATCTGAATGAAGAACAATTTTTAAAGAACAGGTATCACAATTCCAGGAATACATTGAATATGATATATTGACCTATTTATTTCCAATGGTTCCAGACAGTAATCTCTCTCATTAATAGAAAGCAGAATGACCATTTTAATGTTAGCGCTCTGTACAAGAGTAAGTAGTTTCTCAGCTAATTTAATTTTTAAATTAATTAACTGCATCCCAAATTAGGTTGTGACACCCAGTTGGGACCAATGAAACACCTATACACACATTAATACCTACTGGAAAGCTTAAAAAAATACCAGGGCGATAATGGATTTTTTTTAACTAAATGTTTTCAAGATCTAAAATTCCCCTTGACATTTTTCACCCCTACAATATTTAAAGAGCCTATTCTCTGCAATGGCAAGATTGAACTAGTCTGATCGAATGTGTGAATGAAATCTTTTTGAAACAAGGAAAGACAAGTTATTAGGCCAAAATAAACTGGCACTTAATGACGAAAGCCCAAGCTTTCCAGCTGCCGAATGGATGCCACTATTGTGGGTGCTGTGTAAACACTGCCCGAGTGCTAAGAATTTTAGGTGTGTAAGTAACACGCAGATTACGCTCACGGACACAGTGTGACCGCACCACGATGGGAGCCAAGTCGCCGTGGCACATTACTTACAAGTAAACTTTTATATGCTACCGGGGAAATTCAATTCTGACACTTCTCTCTAGGAAAGAAGGGAAAACGTTCACATATTTAACTGGACCTGAAAAGAGCCAAAGTAGAAAAAAAGAAAAAGGACAAGAGGGGGGCGGGGACTGAAGGAGGGGGAGTCACTGGGGAGTCAGGGGGGAGTCAGCGGAGAGGCAGGGAGCGAGACAGGCATGGGAAGGAGGCACCAATAAAGCCTTGGCAACGCCGGCTGCTCAGCCTCCGAGTCTCCTGTATCCTTTACATGCTACACCAGATGCTGTTCCATGACGCTATCATGACCTTCTCCCATTCTTCTTTCCCAAAAGGTCCTGGATTTTGATATCGGTATCAAAAGCGACACTCCCCCTATTAACTGGTTAATAAGCTCGGGAGGCAGCACTGGTCCCGGGCTGATCTAGACAGATCTTTTGTCTTCATTTGGTGTATATATATATTTCATGTTGTTTCTATTTTTCGAAACATTCAAGACCAATGATGACTGTCCAGTACAGGTTCTAGAAACACCATCTGTGTGAGGGGCTCAAACATTTACAGACACGAGATAACCTGCTCAGCACTTAATTCGATATAATTTTCATATCTTGTATTTCTGACTAAGGTACATGACAGTTGAGATGGGTGATGTTAATTATCTAATACATTTTTCATATTTTTATATAATAAAATATGATTGTTATGGAGTAGAATGCAAAGTTTGCATGAATTTTTAAGAAAGAGAGGACTTCCAAAAAAAATAGGGTTCACAAAGGGTCACTTTGAACGATGTCTCAGGACTCCTGGGGTATAAGTACATTTGTTCAAATTCTGCCATTATGAGTAAACTTAGAAGAAAACGATCAAGAAGTACTATTTTCCTGACCTCAATGACTCCTAATACATTTCTTTCCTACTATTTTTTATAATACTTTACCGAATTTAAAATTACAAATTAAAACCTACAACAGATTCATAACCAAACATCTGCAAGTTAATAAATACACCTAAACTTGTATTTTGAATGATACAAAATAATTTTTTAGCAATTTAGTGCAAAACGACTGAAGCATATACACACATCAATATTTTATCTCTTATCTCTTAAAGAAGATTTTGAGTGAAGCAGCATTCTCACTGACTAAAACAATAGGGAAATACTAAGGTCCAGATAGGTATTTTTCCTAAATAACCATTTCTCCTATAAATTTATTTCTGTGCTTTTAAACATCCTTATATATAAACTTTGTTCATATTTAAATTCTGCTTTCAATTTCTCAACTACACGTTTGGTCTGGTACCAAAGACTGGAACGTAAACTCATGTGTTCAAATGAGAATCATCCAAGTAATACAGTCTCAGTTCTGATAAACTAGTAGCAAATGGTGCTTCCAGATTCCGTATCTGGAACTCGCTGGAAACAGTGACTCAACTTACCTGGTGCTAGCCCGGCAGCGGCGGGACCTCCCAGGGATGGGTGAGAGAACACTTGAGAGAAGGCAGACATGTTTGACTGGGACACATTACTCAGCCTGGAGGTTGATCCTCCTTTAGGAATAAACTCGCTTGCGGTAGGATTTGGTGTCTATTCAAAAATCAAATATAGGAAGTTAACACACTTTAAGCCCAAAAAAGACATCGAATCTACTAGGCATTATTCCACAGTACTTTATTTACTGAGTAAAATATTTACTGAAAGGATTTACAGTGTTTTTGAGTTCCCATTATTTTGGGAGAGTATAATTAAATTGCTTGAGGAAAATGTTTTAATCAAATTTGAGAATTTTAATCATTTCATTTGCAAAATATGATTAATACCTCAGAAGCATGTAAATTTTGCTTTTATTGTCGAATATGCATCATTACCAAACTAACGGATTTCAGAGAACCGGGAGGCTGAGACTACCTCAAAACTGAGCAACAAGTTTCAAGTTTCACATCTTTAAACCACTTCTACCAGGATAAAGGTCAAAACTGCCTGCATTCCAAAATTGAATCACTTCTTTTTGTAAGCACTTAAGACATTTCCCCAATAATAAGATGCCATGTACTTAACAGAGTTAAAGACAACAGAAACACTTAAAAACAAGGCAAACGTGGGAGGAATCAAAATAGAAGAAAAACGTAACGGTGGCCCCAATGCCTGCAAAATATTAATGTAACTTGTTATAATAAAAACATTTTACTATTAAATTACATTTTTAAAAATTACTACATCGCAATATTTTATATATTCAAGTGGCATGGTACTTTTGCTTTAAGAACTATTAGAACATTTTAAGACTGTATTTTAGATTCATAAATGGCCTAGATTTTGTCCCTGTGGAACAAATGAGTATCTTGAATATTCTTCTGAATGGTGACCATTTTAAATTCTACATGCTTAAGTGTGATAAAGATTCAATGACCGTTAACATGAATTTCATTTGAATTCAACTTCCAACAGGGTCAACCAAGAAAATAATTTAGTATGTTCATACTTCAGCCCCCACTTTATATGCACATAGAAACTGAGTTTAAAGCATTAAATCATATCACGAAGAATGTAATCACTTAAAAGTATTTTAGAACCATCAGAATGTAAGAATGCAGAAAATCAGAAGATGAGTAATAACTGTACAACCCAAGAAAACATCCCTATTAGATATGAACTTTAAACTGTCAAATTAGAGTTCAAACTATTAGATCTGGAAGATAAGTCAACTGGCTAACCTAATTTTAAACTCTAAAATGATATTTTACACATATGTGCCAGGGAAAATTAAACACAAAGTGATAAAATATAGAAGAAATGTTAATCTGAGCTTAATTAAAATATTCTAGATGTACAGAATGAATGAAGCTCTTTTATGGCCACAGCTAAGACAAAAAATTCTGGGGAGAAAAAAAAAAAAGAATCAGGCCTCAGGCAAAATATAGTTTCCAAAGAGGAAAAAAAAAATCTCCTCTCCCTCTTCTCAGCCTCCATGATCATGTGAGCTAATTCCTATAATAATTCCTCTCTCTCTCTCTCTCTCTCACACACACACACACACACGCACACGCACACGCGCACACACACACGCACATACACACACTTTAAAACCTTCCAAATTCTAAAGTTTTCAAAAACAGTGGCATGTGCTTTGAAAGTATGGTCAATTCCTTAATTTCTGGAGTAGAAAATAAGCCACTGCATTTTACTGACGGTTAATCCCTACTTATAAGCAAACAAATGGCTACTAGCAGGATCACTTCTGAGGTAAGTCGATGTATATCAGTTAATCCTAAATCTATTTTAGAAGATGGGAGTCAAGATAAAAGCAATCAGCCATCTTGGTAAAAGAGTCCAAAATGCCTAGGGGAGATGGGAATTTCAGGATTATAAGATTACTAAAAAAAGCAAATTTAGACAGAGAAAATTATACACACATATGAAAACTTTTAAGCATATTCCTGAGAAATATTACCCAGTTTCCATTTCACTCACATACTACGTTTACTGAGAATGACAGATTATCTGATTTCAAAGCTGAGTTTCTCTAATTCGAAAGACTACTTTTATGGGATCCTATAAACAAGAAAAGAGATGACAGTCTGTTTCTACTTTCCCAAACAAATCATACATAAAATATCATTCTAACAGTTTATGAAGGACCTCAAATTTTATAACAGAAGTTATTAAAATTAATGTAACTATGAAAATTTACACACTAAACTGTGTCTTCTAGAGATTCAACAACCACAATGCAAAAAAACCTACCCAACAGTGAATTTTAATTAAAAAGTGAAAAGGGCCTAAAATCTTTCCCTCCTTTAAGATCTGATTTAGGATGGCAAGGCATTTATTTCCCTTGAGTGAGAGGTTTGGAAGTCTGTTTCATTCAACTTTGAGTATTTGAGTAAAAGGATTTAAAAAGCAGAAAAAAGAATTTTATAGGATTTAGATACAGTGCAAAAAACCCCACAAAATCTAGAGATAAGAGAGTAGAGCTACTACTATTAACAGATAATATAGATTCCTATCGACAATTTAGAGAACTATCAGAAATATTTAAAGTAGTAATTATAAATTACTATAATAATAAATACTTTTTGATAATAAAATTAATTAAAGTAACCATAATGGAAAGACACATTCTAAAACTGCTTTAATATTACTGGTTTAAAATAAAAATGAGGGTTTTACAAAGCAACGAAAAGAACACAGGCACACACGTTCAGCATGTTAAGAATAAAAATTTTTTGAAAGGCAAAGCCGGTAACTAAAACCAATCACATTAAAATGAATTATCTATTCATCAGAAAATTTAAAAATTTCTTTAGTTTTCGGGAGGCAAAGGCTGTATCCAGAAAGAAGACTCATGGACTCGGGTTATACAAATTATCTGTCTAACTTCTGCGATACTAAAGAGAATGCAATAAACCAGAAAAGGAATGGTGAAAAAAAAAAAATCGAAGTTTTATTATTCCTGCCCTATGATTTAGATAATTCCTTCATAACTACCCAGCTATGTTCCTATATTAAATTTGTGATTTATTATAATTACTATATATAATTATTACAGATAATTATTTTTATTCATAACTTGTTTCTATTCTAATCTCTATTCATATTTTAAATCCTAATTTTTATTCATACCTTAAACAGCTTTAAATGCACAGCTGAAAAAAATTAATGTTTACGTTAAATAACAGACATTCGCTTTGTGAAAATTGATCAACAGAGTTTTAGGTTCTCATAAACTTAAATTAACACTGCATCTTTCAGGCTAAAACGACCTAGTGCTTTTTATACAGTAAGTTCTCCAAACTGACATCGTCCCCCGGCATGTGAATATGACACGTACCTGTACTCTCTGGGCAGAAGGGGACTAAATCAGGAGTCCTGATGTTTAGCTGTAAAAGCGCTGCTGTAATTATCTTTATATTTTAAGTGAATTGTTTTAATCCACATATACCACCCAACCACAACGATACAGTATTTCCTACCTGCAAACGACCCATAAAGGTTTTTTACAAATGAAGCTATTTTCTGAGGAGGTTTCTAACTCAGGTTTAATACAACTTTATGCTTTTCTACTATGATTCCAAGAAAACTGTTACTTTTGAAGTAACAGTATTTAATACTCTGCTGGACTCCACTACAAACGGAATACTTATTTAAGACCACAACAAATTAGTCGCATAAAGTAAGAAACTAATTGAGTTAGTGCAACAACATAAAAAGTACAGCCATTAAGTATTCTTTTTCTATTAGGTGGAAAAGACAGAAAGAGGTTTATACTAAATGAAACTAGAACACAAATATTACGTATTTCATTAAGATGATGTGATGAATGACTGAGAAGCCAGTAATACTGGTGAATATTGCTCAGGCTTTTTTTTTTAATCACATAGTAAACTTATAAAACCATAAAATATCTCCTGAGACACAGCTCCATACAATGAGCTTTTAACTTGCTTTATCTGTCTTAATGGCTTCTTAAGTTGCTATCAGTGATCTCTCCACTCTTGAATGAAACATGGCCTGATAACTTTTTCTTAACAGCTCTATTTAGATATAATTGATGTGTAATAAACTGCATATATTTAAAATGTAAACTACGAGAACTCTTGACATAGGAAGACAATCATGAAACCATTACCCAAGCCAAAATAATGAACATATCCATCATGCCCAAAAAAGTTTCCAGGAGCCTCTTCTAAACCCTCCTATTCCTCTCTGCTCCACCACTTTGGTCTCTAGGCAACCAGTGACCAGCTTCCTGTCACAACAGATTAGTTTGTATTTGCTAGAATATAAATCTTTTTTTTTTTTTTGACTAGCTTCTTTCACTTAGCATCCAGATTTATCTATCAATATTTCATTTGTTTTTTACTGCTAATACTCAATAATATCAAAATACCACAATCTGTTTATCCTGTCATCCAATGGACAAAGATTGTTTCCGGTTTTCAGCTCGTGCAAACAAAGCTGCAGTGAACATTCGTGTACCAGTGTCTGTATGAACATGTTTCATTACTCTTGAGTAAATCTCTAGCAGTAAACGGCTTGGACATGTGGTATGTGTATATGTAAACTTTTTAAAAGTTGGTAAGCTGTCGCCCAAAGCAGCTGCACTATTTCAGTACGTCCACCAGCTCTGGGTGGAGGCATCGGCTGCTCTGTGTGCTCAGGAACGCAAGCTCTGGCAGACTTTGACGTTTTAGAAATTTTAATAGGTGTGTAGTGGTATCTCACTGTGGTCCTAATTTGCATTTCCCAAATGACTTATTCTGTATCTTCTCTGGTAAAAATGTCTGTTCAGGTTTTTTTGACCATTTTTAGTGGGGTTGTTTGTTTTCTGTCAAGGCATTTTGACGATCCTGGATAGAAGTCCTTTCTCAGATATGTGATACACAAATATTTTCTCCAGGTCAGTAATTTTTCTTTTCATTCTCTTAATAATATCATTCAAAGAACAAAGGTTCTTGAATTTTGATGAAGTCCAGTTTATAAAATGTTTCTTTCATGGGTCGCATATTTGGTTTGTATCAAAGAAATATTTGCCTAACCAAAGGTGACAGATGTTTTCTCTCATAAGTTTTGTGGCTTCATATTTT